ACAAGCCAAAGTTTAGTAGTCACAACAGACTCAGCTCCCACCAAATACACCACCCCAAGTCCAAACGAAAGCATAGAAAACTTCATACCAACACTCCCACAACCGTTCAAAGCATGGTGAAAAGCAAATTGCCTTCTTCATGGATGGATCATCGGCACGCTCTCCGAAGAAGCTCTTGGACTTGTTATTGGCTTAGATACATCCCACTCAGTGTGGGAGGCACTCAAAAAATTCTTATGCACAAGATTTGCAAGAACGAGAATTTACGCTGCGACAACAATTAGCACCTGTTTGAGTCACATTATTTTTTGCATTATCATTCTTCTACTCATTTTCAATTACACATTCTTCAATAAAAAAATATTTTCCATCACATCAATAACTTTTCATTTTTTTTCAACCACATATTCCCCATTACATCAACCAAAAAAATGCATTTTTGGAGCAATAATGTGACTCAAACAGGGGCTTAATATATCTTCGTAAAGATGAAGATAAAACCATTGCCAAACACATTTGCACGTTCAAAAGTCTCTGACAATTTGCAGCCATAGGAAAGAACAAGTATTTTGCCTTCTCACTAGTCTCGGTCCCCAGTAAGACTTTTACAACTACCATGCTTAAGCCTCTAACGCCCACCTATTCAGAGTTAGTGTCACAATTGCAAAGTCTGGACCAGCGATGAATCTGGTTTTCTAGTAATGCAGATAACACAGCTCGACAATGTTATCCTCAATTGGCATTTTATGGCCAACAACAGCATGCTCAAAGAAGATTTCGAGGAAACACTCAACAATTCATCTCAACTGGACGTGGCTTCCAAGCTCAACAGCCCAGAAACAACAATAGAGAATATTCAGATACTTCAGCATCTAACCCAAGGTGAAGTCATCCTCTGCCTCCAGGTGAACGTCACATTTCTCATGCAGAAAGAGATTTGTATCGTAAAGAAAAATTCTAGTACTGTGGGACAGTGGGCCATATTGCAAAGATTTGTTGGTGGTTGGCCAAGATGTACACTCAGAGTGAGAAGATCCCTTATGCTTTTGCAACCCTTACCTTGGACAACACCATTTCAGATACAGAGTGGACATTCGACACTGGAGCTTCTAATTACATGACAGGTAAGCCCGTTATGTTGTTTAATATTCGTAAATATTGTGGATCTGACTCAATGCTCATTGGAGACGGATCTTCTTTACCTATAGTTGGGATTGGTGGTACATTTATCAAACAAAATAAGGCAAATTTACCTTTTCAAAATGTATTGTTAGTTCCAAACCTAACAAAGAACTTGTTGCCTGTGAGCCAATCAACTAGTCAATTTCTGGTAAACTGTGAATTTTTTTATGTTGATTTTTCTGTTTAGGCACGAGAAACAGGACAATTGGTGATAAAAGGGAAGCACAAAGGTGATCTATATGCTCTCTCTAACACACCAAAAGTGAATTTCTCCCATTGATTTAAATCTGCCTCAACAACAGTTTGGCATCAGCGTTTAGGACATCCACAGTTTTTAGCTTTACAATTATTGAAAAATAATTGAAGTTGTTGGACCTACTAAATTTGAGCATCTTTGTGATAGCTGTCAGTTAGGAAAGCTCAATAAATTGCCTTTTTAGTTCTGAACATTCTAGTGCTTTGATTTTTGACAAAATTCATTGTGATTTGTGGGGTCCTACTCTAGTTTTATCTATTGGAAAAATTAGATATTATGCTTGTGTAGTCGATGATTATTCTAAGTATACATGGATTATTCCTTTGCAACATAAATATGATTTTGTTGATGCATATATGGCATTTGAAAAATACGTGGCAAGTTTCAACAAACAAATAAAATTTTTTCCTTCAGATGGTGGAGGTGAGTTTCTTAACTATAGATTGGCAGCTGGCAAAGTCCATCAAATTTCATGTCCATATACTTCTGAACATATAGGTATGGTTGGACGATGCCATAGAATTATTAGGGTATGACCCTGCTCTTTCAGTGTGGTGCTCCTTTTATTCCTTCGGGTTGAAGCCACTACTGCTGTCTATCTTATCAATCGTTTGCCATCACCAGCGGTTAATTTTGAAACTCCATACTTCATGTTGCATAAAACTCATCCGGTATATTCTTCACTTAGGGTTTTTGGCTCAAAATGTTTTCCTTACACATGGGACACACGACATCATAAGTTTGATCCTAGAACAATTGCATGTGTTTTTGTAGGCTACAGTGACAAATATAAAGGATATAAGTGTTTTCATCCTTCTAGTAGAAAGTTTTTTGTTTCTCTCCATGTGGTATTTGTTGAATTGATTTTTCCATACAAGGAATCTCGTACCTCAACTCTCACTCCTAATTCATCTCATGTAATTAGTATTTTTGATTCTTGGTTTTAACCTTGATTTTTCTATGTGGCCTATGTCATCTACACCACCTTGCATAAGCCCCTTGCCTCCTACTTTATCATTCACCTTGGGTACTCAACATGGTGAATCTGATGTTCTCAATGTCACATCTTCAGATTCAATCAACATATTTGTTTCGTATTTTCTTTCATAACATGTTTAAGAGATCGAGCTAATGAGACACGTAATAAATTATGACGATCATTAAACTATCCTATCTTATATTGCACATCAAAATAAGTTAGAAAATTTCATGATTGAAAATAATTTATCTTTTTATCTTAGCATGAAATTTAGGAACTTTGACGACAAAAGGATGAGCTAACATAATATGTCGGTAATTAGTAGACAATATCCTAATATCAACAACAGGAAAGGTGTATAATTGAATAATGGCCTTGAAAAACAACGTGGCAACTGAATAATGTCCTTTAACCGACAAAGAAAAAACATAGAACGGAATTAATTCCTTAAGCTAATTCCGTTGGTTCTGTCATGAATGCCGCGGTTTGTTCTAGACGTGATATAGCTTTTGCTTTATATTGCTAAGGAATGAAGTGGCTTTTAAAGTATGTAAAAGGTACCTCACTCTTAGAACTTACCTTTAAGAAATGTAAAGATGGTGTTAGACTTAGAGAGACTATGACTCTGAGGGTGATAGAGGTAATAGGAAGTCTACCTTTTAATTTGTATACACTTTGCTGGACTGTCATTAGTTGGGAATTATTGATAAACAGATAGCTTAAGTTGGAAAAAAAATTAATACTAAGAATAATAGTGCTGATATTGGTATGAAAGACTTCCAATTAGTAAGTATAATGAGTGAAGTTCTTTCTAAAACATGGATACTTCTTAATCTTCTGTTGTAGGTTACTCAGTGTTAAATTAAAAAAATGCTCGAGAATGAGTTATAGTTATATTTAGCAGCAAGGTGGAGATTGAAAGGACGTAAATGATCAACATTGTTTTAAAACTAATCCATAACTCGTTTTGAATATCATACGATAAGATCATTTAAGATTGAGAGAAGTAATTAATCGTGGCAATTGGCATCAAAGTACAATGTTTGATTTCATTTATTTTTATTGAACTTTCAACGAAGCTCAATCACATCATCCAACTTTAATTTATCACAATCATATCCGATAGCCCCTATTACTAAACTTAACACCTAATCCTTCTTTATGTGACTAGAAAATCTTGAAATTGAAGACAAATGGAGATTTGAGTATGCTCTGTTGTACTAATCACCGTCAATTTTTAAACATTTATATTTAAATATTACAATCATGGCATGATTATATCGCATATTTAGTTAGAGAGGTAATACACGTGATATTGTTGTCAATTTTTAATGTTCACCGAAGATTGTTACTTTGAAACGTATATCATTGTGAAATTCAATATTTTAAATTTGCTAAATAGTAGGTACTTGTGCTGCTTAACGTAATTAGTCTTCAAAATATTTTATGTGATTATGAATATATAATTGTTAAATTGTTACTATGTGTAACTTGCACGGCGTGGCCTTTAAGCGGCATATTATATTCAACATTGAATTATGTGAGGATTGGAAAATAAACCTTTTATTATATCTTTGTTTAGTATGTATTAGCATATTCTCATCAATGTACTCTTAATCTCGGTGTTATTATTATTTTTTAATGCTTTTTACCCCTCCACTAGAATTCCCACAGTCCCTATTGTAATCAAATTAAGTAGATTTTACCTTTTACCTTAAGATCTAATTATTGAAAGTCAACTATCTTAAGTAATCTATAATTTACTTTTTAAAAATGACAGATCACATCTCTAAAATATGTAGTGAATGCAGATTGGAATTGATGAAGGTGGAAATTATTTAGTTATATTGTATCATTGATATAGTAGCACAATTTGAGAAAGATCTCATTTATGGCCTAATCAAATANAATATATTTCTATGGAAAAATGAACGTCTTGTAGACGTCTTTGTTAAGGATTTTCATACCAAAGTGATGTCTCTTTCCCTACCTACTACGGCACCATAGTGAATATAATCTCCACCAGACATACGCAACGCTTTCGCTAGTACATGAAAGTGTATACCATGATTCTTTTATTTATCAATAATTGCATGCATTGCACAGTGAATGTGAAGAAGTAGATTTAAAAATATGTAACTTTATTATAATATTAAGTAGCATTATCCATGAGTTGCTGGTTCACTCCCATCATGGTGACTCGATGCCTTGGATCCTGGCCCATGATGTATTATAAATGTAACATACCTCTATATAAATCACTCAAATTTTACAGCTACATAATATCGATTGCCATCCCAAAGTCTCAACCCATCCCGCTATAAACAGAAAATGTCCTAAAGCATCACTGTCCCTCCTTTTTCCAGTCATTTTATCTTCAAAAATTGGAAAAATAAAACTCACAAAAGATTGGAGTATGTGATGCAAAATGCTTTCTTTTTTTGGTCCAGATGAGTTTTTATTCTACGGGCGTTGACTGGCCTTACAAATTACTTTTCTAGAAAGTTTAGACTTAATTTCGAGAAAGTCAAGTTAGTTGGCAGAAAAAATATTTTCTAGTGGATAGATGTTTAGCCAAGAATGATGTCAATGACATGCCAGAATCTTGAGTTTGGAAGAACAAGGTTGGGATTTGTGGTTAACGTGTGCTCTTTTAATGTCTATCTTGATCGCATCTCAGTAATAAATCGTGTTAACGATATGCTTATGAATGTCAGTGGAGGCTATAAGGGTAAAAAATTGTGGAGCAGCCAGACGAAAATTGGTCCATGTCATGTGTTTTCAACAAACACTACACAAGCTTTGCTCAATGGTATTCTTTCTTTGATTAGTTTAAAAGACATGTTTAAATAAATGAACTCGTCTTTATTCTAATTGCTTAAACTTTTAGATGAATAAGTTTAATGTAGTATTGGAAAACATGAGCAGTAAGATCCAAGTTTGCCACCTGCGCAATACATGCGTCAAGCATTCACAAAAATGAATTAGCTAATGGTATTACAAATTTTTAGATGAAATAGCTCGATAATTTTTCTAGTTGAAAGAAGGTGAAATAAATTTTCCAGAAACGTTTATAATAGTTTTGGTGCAATTGTAGGGGTTGCTGTAGATCATCCACCGACTAATTTTTTTGAAGTGGTTGCAGAAGACATCCAAATGATGAATAAAAATCTTCAGTCGGTGAGTTTCTTGATTTTTATGTTTGAAAATCAGATTATGAACTTTTGCCTATTTAAAATATTGTATTCTTTGTATTATGATAAGGGAAACACTGTATAAATGTTACGAAAATTATAACGAGAAACCCAAGATTCGCTAATTGATAGATTGCAAATTAATGAGCCAATGTGATTAATCTGTAAATATATATCATTTAAGAAATGAGATAAAGAGGAAAAAAATAGTCCAGATATATTTTAATATTTCAAACATAATAAGGATAAAGTGGAAAATACAAATTTTTTTGGACATGGAGAATATGTTGTGGAAAACAAACCATGGAAATTTAAAAATTTAAAAAAGGGCAAGAAATGTCTCTATAGTTAATTTGATACCGCTTAGATTGTGTTTGCAATTTATTTTAGTTTTTACTACGTTTGGTCATCTTCTATAACAATACTTCCATTGTAGAGCATTATAAGTTGTATGTCCATCTTTTAAACTTCTGATCTCATAAGAATTATTATTAGATGGTTGGCGAAGAAAATCCAATTTTGATGTCTAGTGCTGAGCATATCTTTGGAGCTGGTGGCAAGAGGATGAGACCATCTTTGGTTTTCTTAGTGTCAAGAGCGACCACTGAGATCGTTGGCTTGAAGTAAGTACTATCCAATCTTCCATTTGCAAATTTGCGGTATTCTCTACTGAGATCAAGTCACTTAGATTTTTAGAATGCATAAATGGTTTAGGGAACTTACGAAAGAACATAGACAGTTAGCTGAGGTTATCGAAATGATCCACACCGCGAGTTTGATACATGATGATGTACTAGATGAAAGCGACATGCGAAGGGGAAAGGAAACTCTTCATCAATTATATGGTACACGAGTAGCTGTGCTGGCTGGAGATTTTATTTTTGCTCAATCATTGCAGTACCTAGCCAATCTTGAAAATTTTGAAGTCATAAAGCTTATCGGCCAGGTGAGCAGGACTCCACATTCCTTTTATAATCAAATAGGGATCTTCTGGCACTGCAAGAAGAGATCAACATGTTCCAAATAACGTTTATGGTGAAGCTAGCTAATTAACCGATGTGAAATCACGTCTAACTATGTAGTTATGTTGCAGGTCATCAAAGACTTTGCAAGTGGTGAAATGACGCAAGCATCTAGTTTGTTTGATTGTGATGTTCAATTGGATGAGTATTTGATGAAGAGTCACTACAAAACAGCCTCTTTGATTGCTGCAAGCACCAAAGGAGCTGCCATTTTCAGTGGGGTCGACAGTGAAATTAGCGATCAGATGTATCAGTTTGGTAAGAATTTTGGTCTATCCTTCCAAGTTGTTGATGACATATTGGATTATACTCAATCCCCTGAGAAACTTGGGAAACCTTCAGGAAGTGACCTGGTGAAAGGAAATTTGACTGCACCAGTAATATTTGCTCTAAAGAAGGAGCCTAAGTTGAGGGATATAATTAAATCTGATTTTTGTGAGTTGGGTTCTCTTGACGAGGCCATTGATATTATCAAGAGTTGTGGAGGCATTGATAAGGCACGAGAGTTGGCAAAATTGAAAGCTGATTTAGCACTTGAGAATCTACAATGTCTACCTTCGACTACTTTCCGATACACACTTGAAGAGATGGTGAAATATAACTTAGAGAGAATTAAATAAAATGAAAATAGATACAAGTTTAGCATTTCAACAATGCAAAACATGCTCAAAGCCCTCTCTTTGTTTCTTAATCCGTACGAAACCTAGCATCTTTATATTTTCTCTCTATTCTTCTTCTTGACTTCTTTCTTGGCAAAGGCAAGTCGCAAGAATTTAAGGTCCCTTTTCCCTCTGTAGTATTACAAGTTTGTGAAATAATGTTTCATAATAATGATAATGTATTATCAATCTGATATCATGTAAGAAGAAAATCAAATAACTAGAAGAAAGAAAGAAAGAAAGACATTGAAATTTTCCCACTAATAACTCTAGAGTTGAGAGGCATTTTTGTCAAGTGGGCAGTTCATTATTTGTTTTCTCGTCTTTGATTTTGTTGTTGCATTTGCCTATACATTAGTTATTCACCAAGTTTTGGGATATTATACTCAATTTCGTCTCAGCCTGCTCACTCATTCTCTCTATCATTGACAGTAAAACCAAATGAACTACCTAATTATATTCAAACCACAGTTTTGTTTGCTGCACCACATGGATGTTATGCGGGGATGGCATTGATTAACTTGTAATCAATCACCAATTAAATTTCAAAGGACGCTACACAGATTGAGTGCCCGTTTGGCCCCAATTATTCCACATTATAATGAGAGGAATGTAATTTTTTGGAGAATGTGTGGTTAAAAAAGAATGAAAAGTTTTTGAATTGATGTATAATATTATTTTATTGAAGAATGTGTGATTGATAAGAAGAGAAAGAAAAATGAATTATAATTTAATGGGAAATAATGGGGCCTAACGGGGGCTGAATATTTGGATACGGAAATAGGGGTCTTTTCATGATAAACTTTCATGAATTCCTGAAATAAGGTCTTATTTGAGCCCATTTTTGTAAAAATTAATTTTTTTCAAAACTCATTTTCAACCACACATTCTCCAATAAAATAATGTTACACGTAAACTCAAAATTTTTCTTTAATTTTTAACAACATATTCTCCATCAATCTATTATTCCAAAATGTTTTCTTTTCTCAAATAGGGCTCAAACAAGGGTTAAATAAGCAAAGGTGTGTAAAAAAGTCTGTTCTTTTATTTGTTTGCTTACAATTACAAAGAGAATGAATCTGTTTACGAGCTTAACGATATATAGTTCCTTTATTTACTTTATTATTATTTTTTTTTTTTGTTGTAACACTAAGATAGATCGTTGCAAATAAATGATGAAACAAAAAGTTGAATAAATCAACCCATCTCATATCAGCTGGGGAGGTCGCTAGTAGTAAAGTACGCAAGAATCTGAGCTACTTTATTCCTATTTCCAGGCGTAAAGTGTCACACGCCACATTCTACATCTTTCAGAAATAGATATTACAGAGTAAACAAGCATTTGGCGCATAAACATTCTTCAAGTTAAGCCACGAATGATTCTGATAGCATCACATTTTTCAATTATGTTTTAATATGTGACTCATATAGAGTGAAACACATTTTTAATAATTTACTGTCCTTTCGCCAAAAATCTTAATTGGTTGGCAATGCAGGGGCAGCGCCCCCGTGGTACGTTACAAGAATATTTTTGGATTTTTTCTTTAAGTCTTGTACTGCCCTGAAGTCTTGTATGTGCCAAGGTTAGTATATATAATGTAACTCTATTATTTATACCAAATCATAGCCACTTCGCTCCCCGTGAATGTAGGCAAATTATCGAGTCACGTAAATCTCTGTTTTGTTTGTTTTGTTTTCTTTCTTCATTGACAAATCACAACAAATTGCTTTTACGAAGATGAGACCTTCACGTAGTGCAATGTCTCCCACAACCTCCAGAGAGAAGTAACCCGCTTTGAGCTCACATAAACTACTATCCCACAATGTGATACTGGATTACCATTTACAGCACCATCAATATTCTGTCTCAACATTCTAGTTGCATTTTGGACAGGCAGCCCATTGGGGAAATAATAAATTTGTTGACATAAAAGTTGAACTCTTTATCTTAAAACGATATTGCACTGCTGATGCAGCAGAACATATTGCCTCTGGCTGAACCAATTGTACCAAGGAAAATGATTGTTTACATTACCATTTACAGATTCTTTTACAGATTGGTGAGGTAGTAAAAAGAAAGTGGAGAATTTTACTTTTTTAGTTGGTTGGTGAAGACTAAATCATATCTCGTCACATCATGTGTTGATAAACAATTTCTAAGCTGTGATATACATACAGTACAACCGTTGTACTAAATTATGAACAAACAATAAAAAAGTCCTTTTTCTTGTATACATGACATTCGTACTGAAATCGTGTAGTTAAAACCCCTTAGAATTTAAGTAATTATATTTCATTGGGTGATACGCTTTCTTACAATATTTAAATTTGATAAATGGTGGATAGCTGCTAACCTTAATTATTCTTTAAAATAAAATTATTGCTCTTGTTTGCATTATTACACAAGGATTGAATAATAAGCAACTTTATTATATCATTACAACATGTCAAGAAAATTAAACTAAGATGTAATAGTGTGTCGTCTAACATTTTTAATTAAACCATGCATGTGACATATTTTTAATAAAAATAAAAAATAAAAACTTTGGAAGGATTATGCTTGACTTTCAGGAATAAAGAACAAAATTAGAACTAATAACACTGCTGAAAGATGGGGGTCATAATCTAAGAAACAAGACCAAATTTATATCTTATGTGACTTTATTTCGTTCCGAAATTTTATGCATCTCATGATATACTTGTACAAATCTTTGGTTGATCAAATTCATGGCCGAGGAAGAGCATCCAAACTAAATAAATTTAACAGAAATTCACACCTCAGCGATCTCCAATGCACGTAACTGAATGCATCATCTGCCGAATCATTTTATCGTGGGTAGAAAGGTTATGCACCAAAATTTAACTCATAACCTACTATCTGTGTTCTTGCTGGCTCGGTGCTTGTACAGCTCAAATCTTACCTGATTAAACAATATACGGTTGGACAGTTAAGAATGTGTGTCCATTATGAAGTAAATCTTCTAATATTGAAATTATGGATTGTACACAATGCAGCTTAACAAACTTGTTGATGATCGCGATGATAATACGGAAGAATGTGAGATGATATATTGTCACAGAATTCGACTGATCTTGGCCGTTTCTTTTATGACAGTGATAGTCTTTCAGGTCTCCTACAAAAATCTGTGAAGATTCCCATTTAGACCTTGTTTTCTTTGGCATGTTTCCATCTTCTTAGGCCTTAACAAGACCCAATTTAGGAATTTCACTGCCCATGTTATGGATGCAGTTAGGACACAGGCGAAAAGTAAGCTGAGTGTTGCATCCATGGTTCTTGTTGATGTGTAATGTGTTTAGAAAGTCAAAGAAATATTTCTTTATTTTGTCTAATCCAAGGGCTGTAAAATGGACAAGTGTAGGGTTGATTTTATGTATTGTAGTAGGTTAAAATTTCACTTTTATAATGTAAAAAAGGCTGCTGTACCAAGAAATTGAAAAAAAATTAGATTTGCACCTCTTTTGTCTCACGTTTTTTCCCTTCTTCCCAGACTTTCCCAACACCTCTGTTTTTCCCTGTATCACTGATTTACTGTTCATCTTCTTCCCTTCTTGCTGCTGGTGCATTTCTGCTGTTATTTCCACACATTACAGGTCCACAAAGCTGTATAAATAGCCAACATTATTGGTATTAGAGCTTCCCCAGGTCTGGTTCGTTCTCTGCTGCAACAAAAAAAAATCTGAATCAAGGGTTAAAAAAGGAGGGTTTTTTGCTGAAATTAAAATGGCAAGCATAAGTGGTTCAAGTGGAAGTTTACAACAGTCCCTTGTTCCAATTTTTGATGGCCAAAACTATGATTTTTGGTGTGTGAAGATGAAGACTTCATTCATGGCTGTGGCTTTATGGGATATGGTGGAGAATGGCTTTGAAGAACCTGAAAATGAGGAAGCTTTGACAGCGGCCAAGAAGAAGGAACTTAAAGAAGCAAGGCAAAGGGCTGCAAGTGCACTTTCAATGTTGCACAGGGCTGTGGCTGATTCGGTCTTTCCAAGAATCATGATGGCAAGCAAAGCAAATGAAGCATGGATGATTCTAAAGAAGGAATACCAAGGAGACTTGAAGGTAAGAGCCATTAAACTTCAATCTCTTAGAAGAGATTTTGAAAATATGAAAATGAAAGACAATGAATGCGTTAAAAAATTTTCGGATAGATTTAATGAGCTTGTGAATCAAATGAAGTCATATGGTGATGATGTTACAAATACAAAAATGGTAGAAAAAATTTTGATTAGCTTGCCAGAAAAATATGATCCTCTTGTGGCAGTGATTGAAGAAACAAAAAATCAAGAGGAGTTAAAAGTTGAGGAGTTGATGGGTTCATTGAAATCATTTGAACAAAGGTTGAATCGACGTTCTGAAAAATCAATGGAGAGTGCATTTCAATCTAAACTAAATGTTGGATCAAATAGCAACTTAAGACAGCCCCAAAATTATGAAACGAGGATGGATATGTCAAGTAGAGATGGAAGAAGTATTAGGGGAAGAGGAAGATGAAGAAGTCCAAGAGTTAGAGGTAGAAGTAATTTTGAAAGGAGATTTAGTGGAGAAAATCTATCACAAAGGTGCAAAATTTGCAAGAGAAGCAGCCATGATGAAAATGATTGTTGGTTTAAAGGGAAACCGCAATATTACAATTGTAAAGGATTTGGACATGTGCAAAAGGATTGTAGAGCAAAGAATACTCAACCAGTCAATTGTGTAGCCGAGAAGGAGGATGAATCAAGTTTGTTTTATACTTCTTTGAATGCACCGGGATCAACAAATGAAGCATGTTTCTCAAGTTCAAATTGCTCCAATGAAACTCAATGGTACTTGGATAGTGGATGCACAAATCACATGACTTCAAATGAAGGAATCTTTGTTGATATGGAAGATTCAAACTCAAAAGTGAGATTGAGAAATGGAGATGTAGTAAATGTGAAGGGAAAAGGAAGAATTGATG